GCTCCAAGCTCTCTCTTTTCTTCGGTTGATATTTTTCTGAACCACACAATGATGGTATTAGTACACTCCATATATGGAGTGCAAGTCGTTTTCTAATGTCACAAGCAAATCAACCCCAGTTTCGAACGCTGAAATAACGAAAGTAAGAATAAACCTGCAGTTCTGCACGACCAGTTCTCGAAGCTCTTCGAGTCTCGAATCAACCTCATAAATCTGAAAAAAAATTCACTACCTATATGTAAATCATCTAATGTGTTTCCATTTAAGGTGTACAAAAAAAGAAAAATTTACAGTCGCAGGCCGTCTAAGAATTCCGGCGAGAAATGGTTGCGGGAAACAACGTTCCCTTTGTAAATGCGACATTTCTTTTCCTAACTAACTAGAGTTGGCCGACAAGAAAATGGCTCAGGAGGTGTGTAAACCGACTGGTGAGTCTATACTCACACGTGCGTAGAACAATAAATACGCATCCAATTAGCCCGTTTAGGATAGCCGCCTAAGGAATATATACTGATATGATAGGTCCTAATCATGATTATGCAGGTTTACATCTAACCCCAATAGTGAGGTCACTTACTGAGTATTTCTTAAAATACTCAAGCCACGTGCTACTTTTATTTTAGGTAAAAGCAAGACATCCTTGAACGGCTGACGACGACATCGAAATTCGAGACCATGACACGAGCATAGGGTAGTTGCAATTATTTTCTTAGACTTAGGTTAGAATAGGATGTTTTTAATTTAAATGTTTGTTTATTTTTATTTAGCCTTCATTGTGTCGTTTTAAAGGTCTTTTCAAACACGTTAGTCCATGATAGTGTTTTAAAGTAAAGTCTATGATTTATGAAGAAGTTTAAATAAAGTATTTCCACACTCAATGTTCTTGATACGTATACAGTATAGACCTTAGATTAAACCTTAGATTAAGTAGAAAATCAAAAGGAAGTACGGCCATCTCCAGACAAGCATTCTCAAGATAGCTAGATCCTTGGAAAAAGATGAACAGCAAACCTCGTTACTTATGTCCCTAGCCATTTTTGCTCGAGCAGCCTCGTGAGCAAGCTGCACGTTCAACAGCGCTTCTGCTTCCTCCTCTTCTCGTTTCTTTTCCTGGAAGCTGAGGTCTTTTTAAGAACTTCAACCAAATTTTAAACATTTCTTTCAACCAAATGATATTAGAACTCCCAGGCAGCATGAATTAATTGAAGAGTATTGATTCATTCAAGAACTGTTCTCAAAACTAACAATTTACCTCTTCAGTGACTTTAGGCAGAAGTTGAAGCCATTTCTCCTCAAACTTAGCGAGCAAAGTCTTGGCCATCACGTGAACATCACTTATCTCATCATTATATTTCATTGCATTCTTGAAGACTAATCTCACATCAGAACATATCTCTCTCACATTCTTATATCCAGTGCTATCCTTAGCCTCCATCTGATTTTTAATTGTACTCAAGTCCATTGGCTTGTCAATCACCTAAAAAATACAGTACATGTGTTACATGAAGGATTACAAAACCTGAGTGCTTAACAAGAGATGCTAAAATATTACCACGCCGCTACCTTATTAATCACGCTCGTGTCTTTTAAGCACTTTTTTAGGTAAGTGTATGCATATTGAATATTCACACTCGCACTGGTGAGACATATGCGTGAAACTAGCAATCTAGACAAACCGTTGGAGAAACACAAACAGAAAAAGTGATTCAAGCATGAAAGATGAGCCTCCTCTAGACGATTACTCTCAAGACCTTCATTTTAAGAAATGTCTATAATAGTGCTTAAACTCAGCGAGTAGGCCCGACTGACTTGGAAGAAAGATCTACAATAGTGTCAATAATATCAAGAATGTTGTGTGTGTTGGGGGTGTCCAAGAAGAAGTAGAGAGTCGGTCTTCACTCCTGCCCTAAGAAGCAGGTCCCACTCCGTCCAAAGCTTCAACTAGCTTTCCGACTGGCTAAGCAAGTTCAACCCCCATCTCCAAAGGCGGGTTCAACTCCGGCTTGATCATATGCAAAAATTGTATATTCTAGTTCCCCAGGATTTCAAGGCATAAGACAGCTCAAAATTAATATATACAACATTCAATATTCATATTTGGATATGGATATGGCCCACACCTCATAATAGTCATGTAATCCGAGAGCTTCGACGTCCACTGGCTTCATAAACGGCCAGGCCCACTTATGCTGTGATATCTGAAAGTCAATGCAGAAATATAAAGAAAGGCACCTGACCATGAGATGGCATGCAAATAGGAAAGCACACGAAAAATTAGCAACCGAATTGAAGAAAACACCAGTGAGTTGGTAACCTGACGCAATATTGTCCCAAACTGCCGCATGAGTTCTTGCATTCTCTTTGCAGCTACAGCTTCTCTGCGAGCTGCATCTTGCTGCTGCTTCTTAATACTTGGAACATGTCTTTCCTTATATTTATCCTTTACAATAGAGCTACCTTTACTACCATTTGGCTGCTTTTTTTTCAATGCCAAATAGAACTGTTCTATCTCACTCGCGCTTTGCTCGAGCTGCAAGGACAGAAGAAAAAAAGAAAGCTCAGATTTGAACAAACAATTTGCTGAGAAAGAATACTATTTAATCCTTATAGTTTGGGGAAGTGAAGTGATTATATTTGACATTCCTAGTTTGAAATGCAAAATGACTCCTCTGACTTTGAACAATGAAATGACTTGAGAGATCGAGTATATGAGACGATGATATCTGCTCATATGTGGGGTAAATTTTAATGACATGATGAATAGTAGTTTTTCCTTGACTTAACTGTTCCTATCCCTTAACATGTCATGTGTCCCTAATTATGTAGGATCTCGTACGGTAACAGTCCAAGCCTACTGCTAGTAAATAGTGTCCTCTTTGAGTTCTTCCTTTCGAGCTTCCGCTCAAGGTTTTTAAAACGTGTCTGCTAGGGAGAGGTTTCCACACCCTTATAAAGAATACTTTGTTTCCCTCTCCAACCGATGTGGGATCTCACACACCAACTTTCATTAGCAAACCAAAACCCAAGCCCACGAAAGGGAGCACTATAGAGAGAGGAGCTCCAATCAAGTAAAACCTAGCGAAACTATTTTCCCCAGATTTCATCTATTTATGTATATTCACAGTCACCCTTCACCGAGCCCGAGAGTACTAGGTCTGTCGAGACAACGATATGCCTCGAATAACAAATGTGAAACAGACCTATAAAAAAGAAAAATAACTGCAAAACAATGAGGTTACCATATATCGGTGTTTTACCCTGTCGACCTTCAGAAATATCTCATCGACTTGATGCCTAACGCCATCCACTTCTTCACGAACAGTGTCTCCCACAACAAAGTTTTTGGCATCTGCTGCATCCATGGGATCTACCTGATTCTGTACAGCAACATTTGGTGAAAACTATGCAGCACAAATGCTACTTTGGAAAGTGCCAAAGAATCAAAAAGAAGATGAACGATGTTCTTTAAGGTGTGAAATGCCTTGAAACATAGTATTTCTTTAAGATTCAAACCCAAAGAATAAAATAAAGTGAGGCAAACTTCTTTTGTGAAACATTAAGTGTAACCGCCCAAACCCACCACTAGCAAATATTGTCTACTTTGGCCCGTTACGTATCCCCGTCAGCTTCACAATTTCAAAATGTATCACTGAGGAGAGGTTTCTACAACTTTATAAGGAATGTTTCGTTCCCCTCTCCAACCGATGTGGGATCTCACAATCCACCCTCCTTGAGGGAGGCCCAGCGTCTCCACTAGCACACCGTTCGGTATATGGCTTTGATACCATTTATAACAGTCCAAGCTCACCACCACTAGCAGATATTATCCACAATGACCCGTTAGGTATCACAGTCAGGCTCACGATTTTAAAATGCGTCTACTAGAAGAATGAAAATTGTGATGTTACTAGTAATAAGATCAACAAATTAAGACTTTTAAACAAGATTATTTATCAATATAGGTTTTTATACAGATATCACATGGAGCCCTCGCTGCACAAAGAGCCCTAGATCCACTTTTTTAAATCTCATACAGACAATGAATGAATGAGGCAGATGAATACGAAGCATCACAAACTATAAATATGAAATCAAGCAGGAAAAGCATTCAATCTATGAAACGGGATGATGCAGCTGATTATAAATCAAAGAACAAACTGGATTTCCAAATTGCAATCCCGTAGCACTAAGCGTTCTTCAATGGCTACTCTACTTCTAGGTAATCCCCCTGCTATCAATGGCTAAAAATATGAAGCTAATTAACCAGAACAAGAACAAAACCTTCCGATGGACGTCTTTTCATCAGCAAACCAAGATAGTCTAAAACGCATCACGTTCCACATGTATTGATCCCAGCTTTCCCGGTATCCAATAATCCTGAGAGCTCCGTTGGTAAGAACAAAGAGATTTGGAAGTCATGTCATGAGCATTCAATAAAACATGGAATAACGACGTTTTTTAAGCTCCAATACAGAGGAAGGGGTAAAGGTTTGAGAGAGACCCACGGAAGGAGGAAGATGATGACGCCGCCGTGCTCGGTGTTTGAACCGTCTGTTAACTCTCAATAACCGGACGCTGGGTCGGAAGGGGCAATTTGGTCATTTTACTTTTTTTTTATCGGATGAGTAAACTTTCGCTAAATTACAAAAATTACTCCCCATATTTTTTCAAAATTAATTTTTGGAAAAATAACATTTTAGTTTCAAATATTTAAAAAATAATTTCAAATATTGGAAAAATGTCAATACTGACCGGTTCAGCTTGGTTTGCGGGTTCAAGGGAATGAAGGTTCGGTCAACCGGAACCGAACCGGGTTTGAATATATATACTTTTTAGGGTTTTGTCCTTTCCCTCCCACACATTTCAGCTGCGTTCAGCTGTTCGTAGAGGTCGAGCATTCTGCTTTCATTTCGTTGTTCATCGTGTCGAGTGTACACAACCGTCCGTCGAAGTTCCCCTCAGTGGTTCGCCGCTCTTCGTTCATTCGCGCCTCCGCTCGCCGCCGGTTACATTTCGAGTTCTTTTACTGTGATTTAATCAGTCAACCGGAAAAAAAAACCCCGATTCCCCTCCAGCGACTACCACTGCAGCCCCCTCCGGCAATTGTGTTACCTCTGTGCTTCGTAATTCCATTCTCCAGGTATTTATTTATTCCAACGTTCGAGCACACTAGATCAATCGACCAATTGCTAACAGATTTCCCTACTAATCTGTTTTGAAACTTAATTTCCTTTTTAATTTTACTTGCCTAAATCAATCGACCAATTGCTAACAGTGTTTTGAATGGCCCTACTTAATTTTTCTCATTTGCAATGCTCCGTGACACGTAGTTGTTCACCTACAACACTATCTGTGTTCATTTGATTTAGTTTTAGTGTTCATTTGATTTAGTTTTTAAATATTGAATAATATGATGGTCAGTCAAAGAAATGGTTGAAAATTAAACTATTTCAACTACTGAACAACCGACAACCTGCCCAACCCAACCTGAAAATAGAAAGATTGGTTTGGGATACTAACCCTATTGGGTTATGTCCGGGTCCAAAAAATCCCTACAACTCAACCTGTGTACTATCCCCATTAAGTTGAAAAAAAAAGAACACTAAGATTAAGTTCACAATTGCCCGTTGGATCTACCTGTTTCCTTCCCCAAGTATGATCATTAAGTACAAACATGGTGAAAAGTAAACGGTGAGCTGATGAAACAATTAAAAAAGGAATTATTTTTTTAAGTTGAATAAAAGAATGAAGATCTCAATATACTCTGAATGCAATTCAGTCCATCATTAAACATCTCGTTGGAGAAAGAAACCAATTAGGCTCAAAAATTCCAAAAGAACATTGGGGAATGTGGGAGAAACCATAAAATTGCAGCAAGAAGGAAGATTCGATCACTTATGGATAGCTGGATAGTGATGGGATTGAGAAAACGAAGAAGGCCATTTGCTTCTGCAATTGCCCAAATTGTTGTTCTTTGTTTCAGCTATGGTCATTTGAGAGCAATTGGTGAAGCAGCGTTGTTCTTTGTTTCTTTCTCCAGCAAGATTTTATCCAGTGGGTGTCTTTCTCCAGCAAGATTTTAAATTTCATATAGACTTGCGCTCGAGTATTGAGACCTCCATTTTTGTATTAAACCAAGAATGATTTTATTTTTCTTGTTTGTATGGCCTAAGCTAACGCTTAATGGAGATCACAAGGAAACTTAATTTTCTGATTTCTGTTGTCAAGAAAATGAATTTCCCGCTTATTTGGTTTGTCAAGGTTCAAATTTCAGCTGTTATTTGCTTTTTGACCAGCCAAAATTGTGTTCTAAATGAGTTTACTCCATATTCTCGTCTCGTGTATTTAATTTCTGGGAGAAAGAAAACATCTTGAACCTCAGATTTCATAATGTGGGACAAGTCTTCCTCCTCCCCATCCCATTAGGCATTGGAAAATTTGATTGAGATCGAGGTTTTATGCTCGTAGCACATTCACTGTTTTATTTTGAAGCATTTAAATTTTGAACCAATGCTTCCACCCGCTTACCATTTACTTGTCCCACCATGTTTTTTCTTTCGGGTCATCTTGTTGTTGTGTTTAACTTAAACCTTAATGCTCCAGCTGGTTGGAGAATTTGAAATTCAATCTTAAGGATCTTTCTTCAGTGAAGTTATTTTCTTTCATATTCAGGCAATCAATCTGTGGAATGATCTTGTTTTGCATTGGCCAATGACTATGTGAGGTGTTCTTTTATAGCTGACGCTTAAGTTTGGCGTATACCCTGTTTGGTCGAGTTTGTTTTTTTTTTTTTTTTTTAACAATCTTTAAGTAAGAAAATGGACTCCAGTGCAACTCCTGGACCAGATGATCCCTTAATACTCAAAGAGCAAGATAATCACATATCGTCAGACATTTGGGATGGAAAGGTAATGAATTGTAGTCTTGTTGGAGCTTTGATCAGTGCTATTGTTTCCATTTAGTAAATTTACAGAGGTTGAGATATATTCTTACTGTTGTATATTTAAAAAAATGGCAGGAAAGGGGTGTGCTTAGATGTTTAGAGCATACTTCCATTCTCGAGAGATGGAAGCTTACAGGAAAACAAATCGAGCTAGTTGAAAAGGCTGGATTTGGGTACTTGAGATTGATGCCAGCAGTAACCCTCGACTGTGCGCTCATCTCAGCATTGGTGGAGAGATGGAGAAAGGAAACAAATACGTTCCATTTTTCGGTCGGAGAAATGACCATAACACTTGAAGATGTTGCGCTTCTACTTGGGCTATCAATCGACGGAAAACCTGTTACAGATGTGGATGTCGATCCCAAGTCACTTTGTGAAAATTTACTTGGGAAAGCGCCCATAGATTTCAAAGGTGCTGTGAAGCTTACTTGGTTGAAGGAGGTTTTCTCTGAATGTCCCGAAGATGCGGGTATCGAACAAATAGAGTATTCTACTCGTGCATACCTCTTATACTTGTTAGGGAGTACGATATTTGCCTCAACAAGTGGGAACAAAGTTAGTGTCATGTACCTTTCATTATTCAAGGATTTTGATGAAGCTGGAAAGTATGCTTGGGGTGCTGCTGCTTTGGCTTTCTTGTATAGAGCATTAGGCAATGCTTCTCTTAAATCACAGCGCACTATTAGTGGTTCTCTAACGCTTCTGCAGGCATGTAAGCTCGTTGCTCTTTTCTTTTAGTGTCGGAGAATGTCGGTTGCTTAGAGTCGATGCAACTACGATTGTATTGCATCTCTGCAAATGTTGTGTTCTCATTAAAATGCTGACTCCCTCTCTGGACTTTTTCCTCACCTGCATAACAGTGTTGGAGTTATTATCACTTGAATATTGGGCGACCCAAATTGAAAAAGGAGCCAGAGAATTGTTTCCCGTTTCTTCTTAAATGGACGGAAAATAGAAGTGGCTCAAGAATGGGAATAAATTTGCCCACATACCGCAAGGCCTTGGATTCTCTTCAACCCTCTGATGTAAGTTTCTCTGTAATGATTCTAGTATTCCCCCTTCTGGAAAATAGCAAGCTGTATGACTTTCACGACTTTTTCGTGTACTATTCAGGTACAATGGCTTCCCTACAAGGATATGGACTTTTCTGTTGTACCCGACGATATCAAGAATAGTTTGGTCTTGTCTGCATCACGAACAATGTTGATTTGTTTTGATAAGGCGGAGAAACATCTTCCCGACCGATGTCTGAGACAGTTTGGCCTGCCTCAGCCTATTCCGAAGGACGTTGAGGATTGGAAGCGAAAAATTTGTTTAATGGATAGCAAGGAGGAACTGCCATCAGAGCTTAAAGAATGGTCGGACCGTTATGAACTTATCGAAAATGGTGTTGCTAGTGTAGATGAAAGTGAGTATTTGCAATGGTATGAAAAGATTACCCGCAAGTTTGTGGGACGGGCCGAGTCGTGGGAGTCTAGATTTAGGCAAACAATCAAGGCTATGCATGAGGTAGTGAAGATTGTAAACTCGATCTCCACGAATGGGATGGATCGTGAGGATCGTAAGTTGTTTAGTAATGTGAAAACTATGGTGCATAAATGTTGGATCGAGAAGTATGCCGATTCGCCTAGCGAAGGGGATAGTACAAAACGAACCGGGAAACGCAGGAGGGAAGGTTAGCCAAAGTTCTGTTGTTCTTTCAAATGTTGTAGATCCACAAAATGGCAGTGTTTGAGGAATTTCAAATTTCACACTTCTTGGGTTCTCTTTGATGTTGATAAAATCGGAATATGGTGGCTGCAAGATCTTGGGAGCTGGGATTCAGTGGACTTCATACATGTTTGTTTGATGCAAAGTTTCAGGAGTTCTCAGCAGCAATGTGTGTAATTTTTCCTTCGTTATATGGCAGAGTGAATATTCCAAGCAACACTGTATCATTCAAAGCTACTCATTGGCTCACTTTCCGTTTCAATAAAAACCCTTGTTATATTTTTCTATTTTTGTTGGTTGCCCGTCATTATCATTAGAGATTGCCACGGGCGAGCCTGCCTATTTCATTATTTCTGTAGCCATGCACCGAGAAGTTTTCTCCTCTTTCATCTATGCTACCTATTTCATTATTTGTGTAATCATGCATGGGGAAGCTTTATCCTTCTCCATCTATATGGCCTATTTCAGTAGTTTTGTAATCATGGACGGGGAAGCTTTCTCCTTCTCTGTCTATACTCTGCCTATTTCAGTAGTTCTGTAGTCATGGATGGGGAAGCTTTCTCCTTCTCTATCTATACTGCCTATTTCAGTAGTTCTGTAGTCATGGACGGGGAAGCTTTCTCCTTCTCTATCTATACTTGCCTATTTCAGTAGTTCTGTAGTCATGGACGGGGAAGCTTTCTCCGCCTATTTCAGTAGTTTTGTAGTCATGGACGGGGAAGCTTTCTCCTTCTCCATCTATACTGCCTATTTCATTAGTTATGTAGCCATGGATGAAGAAGCTTTCTCCTTCTCCATCTATGCTACTTATTTCATTATTTCTGTAGCCATGGACGGGGAAGCTTTATCCTTCTCCATCTATGCTACCTATTTCATTATTTCTATAGCCATGGACGGGAAAGCTTTCTCCTCCATCTATACTACCTATTTCATTATTTTTGTAAAAAACTCTAGACAGAAGCTTTCTCTTTCTCCATCTATTCTACCTATTTCACCATTTCTAGAGATCTCGAATAATTTTACAAGTATATATGCCTTAATATAATTTTTAAAAATTTAAATTTTATTATTACTAGTTTTAACATAGTCTTTAGATTAAAATTTAATAAATCTAAATTCAAAACAATCAATGAAAAATATTATTTCCTATACACATAGAATGATTACAAATCAATATAAATACCAAGTCACCATGCAATAAAAAAAATAAGATTTATCTCGGAACTAGATAGATTTTTTTAAAAAACAATATCCTTGCATTTCAAATCTAATGAACTGAACCAAGAGATTTAAATAATTAAAATACTAAAACATAAACGATCCATATTATGGATTAAATTAAAACAAAACTGAAATAAAAGCAGTTTAGCAAGACAGAACAAAATAAGATAAAAAGCTAGAAAAGGAGACCACCTTGCCACCGCCGGTCAAGCACCCAATTCTGCGAGAAGCTGCTCAGCGACGAAGGAGGAACCTTGAAGACGTGTCCAACGAGACACAGACAAAACAGACCCCAAGAGGTAGAAGAAGATATATTATTATTATTATTCTTAATAATAAGAATCCAGTCATTATCAAGACGATGGCCTTCACTACCGCCAAGTCCAAAGCCTACTCCCACCATTCACTTCCCTGATTTCTTGGCCGCAGACTTGGTCACCTTGGCCCCGCTTGGATCCTTCTTCTCGACGGCCTTGATGACACCAACAGCCACAGTCTGCCGCATGTCCCTCACCGCAAACCGTCCAAGTGGTGGATATGTGGCGAATGTTTCCACCACCATGGGCTTGGTGGGTATCATCTTAACAAATCCAGCATCGCCGTTCTTCAAGAACTTGGGCTCTTTCTCAAGCTCTTTACCAGACCGCCTGTCAATCTTGGTCAAAATCTCAGAGAACTTAACGGCAATATGAGAGGTATGGCAATCAAGAACTGGGGCATAACCATTTCCAATTTGACCTGGGTGGTTCATGATGATAACTTGAGAGGTGAAATTGGCAGCTTCCTTAGCAGGATCATCCTTGGAATTTGAAGCAACGTAGCCACGTTTGAGATCCTTCACAGCAACGTTCTTAACATTGAACCCCACATTGTCACCAGGGAGAGCTTCTTGGAGAGCTTCATGGTGCATCTCAACAGACTTTACTTCAGTTGTCAGTCCAGAGGGGGCGAAGGTCACGACCATACCAGGTTTAAGAACACCCGTCTCAACACGACCCACTGGCACAGTTCCAATACCTCCGATCTTGTAAACATCCTGAAGTGGAAGGCGAAGGGGCTTGTCAGATGGTCTCTTAGGCTCTTGGATCAAGTCGAGGGCCTCAAGAAGGGTTGGGCCCTTGTACCAGTCGAGGTTGGTGGATCTTTCAATCATGTTGTCACCCTCAAATCCAGAGATTGGGACGAAGGGGATTTTGTCTGGGTTGTAGCCAACCTTCTTGAGGTAGGAAGAAACTTCCTTCACAATTTCGTCGTATCTAGCTTTAGAGTACTTGGGGGTGGTGGAATCCATCTATCACAAAAAGAACCAAGTGAGTCAGAAAAGTTACTCATAACAGACGGGAAGAAAACAAAATTACAACCAACGCTGAGCTCACTTTTGGGTTTTTCCTATGTACTAGAGAGAGATTTCCATACCCTTATAAAATTATAAAAGTTGTTTCATTCTCCTCCTCAATTAATGTGGAATCTCACAAAAACAATAAGCTTAGAAGAGTATAAGACGAACAACATTACCTTGTTGCAGCAGCAAATCATTTGCTTGACACCAAGGGTAAAGGCAAGAAGAGCGTGTTCACGGGTCTGCCCATCCTTTGAAATACCAGCTTCAAAGCCTCCGGTAGTAGAGTCAATGATAAGAACAGCACAGTCGGCTTGGGAAGTACCAGTAATCATGTTCTTGATGAAGTCACGATGGCCTGGAGCATCAATAACAGTGCAGTAGTATTTGGTGGTCTCGAATTTCCACAGGGCAATGTCGATTGTGATACCACGCTCACGTTCAGCCTTAAGCTTGTCCAACACCCAGGCATACTTGAAGGATCTCTTGTTCATCTCAGCAGCTTCCTTCTCAAACCTCTCAATAACACGCTTGTCAATGCCTCCAAGCTTGTAGATCAAATGGCCAGTGGTGGTCGACTTTCCAGAGTCGACGTGACCAATGACCACAATGTTAATGTGTACCTTCTCCTTACCCATGGCTGAATCTTAGGAAAAATAACTGCTAAACAATAAAAAGTTGGATACAAAATGAGCATAGGAAAATAACATAAAGGAAGAGCAGGCAGGCAAAAATTCATTACTAAAAAATTATGAAAAAAATGTCTGAATTTCACATGTCTTGATAAAGTAAATCTAAAGTTATTCACGAAACATTTCTTAATTACAAAAAGTTATTCATAAAAGAAGACGATCAGAGAATAATTTAAGAACACGAAGATGGCAATCCAGTCAGTCAGAAGAGATTAAATGCAGATCTAGGCTACTAGAATAGCGATAACACATTTGTAAAGATTGGAAAACAAAAACCTAAAACTCAAATCAAACTAATGTAATAAGCATCAAATATATAATTCAACAACGATTTATGTTAGAAATCAATAAAGACGAAATCAAAGCAAATATTGATTACAGATATAGAGAGATCGATCAAAAAGGTTAAATGGTATGAAGAAATTGAGAAGACAAAAAAAAACAGATATCGATTACAGATACATACCCAATCAACTCAATAAGATGTAAATCTTAACCTGAATATAGGTTTTGTTTAAACCCTTGCGGCCAGTGAATGAAAAAATAGACTCATAAGGTTTGAGAACTCTTATATATATAGAAGGTATAAAAAATTAGTTGACGAAAATACCCTCATAATTTTAAATTTTCGAATAAATAAAAAATAAACTAATAGATTTGAGAATTCTCATATAAAAAATTAGTGGACGAAAATACCCTCGTAATTTTAAATTTTCGAATCAAGACCCTCTACAATAAATTCGTTAATTAATCTCCGAAATTAATTATAACTGAAAAGTTACACCTTACTTATACTTGTTTATAACTGTATTATTTATTTATTTTATAAATTATTTATTTATTTTATAAATTATTTATTTTTTAATTAATTGAAGTTATATGGCTTGTCTATTATTTATAATATTCAAGAGGTTTGAAGATTTTTCTATTTATTAATTATAGAATTTTTTTTTACTTTGTTTATTTATTATTTAAATTTGATTAATTTAATTTTTAATGTGAAAAATCATTGTTTCACAACTCAAAATGAATGAGATGAAAGAAGTATCAGATAATTTAGAAAATGATGATGGTTTATAAACAAAAAATACTCTCCCCACTTTGTACGAGGGCTTTTGGGAGTCCAACTTTGTACGAGGGCCTTTAGGAGTCCAAAACAAAGCTATCTTATACCGATAATATCACGTGAATTGTGTTTGTCTGGTATCAGAACATGGCCTAACTACTACGAGGACTTTGGGAGTCCAAAACAAAGCCACCCTTATAATATCATTGCTTGTGTTTGTCTCATAGTATCAGAACCATGGCTGGCCTAAACTTAGTCGTGTCAATAAATCAATTTTCATGGTAGGACTAAAAAATACTTATTTTATATTCCAATTTTCATCCAACTATCTATGTGTTTTTTCCAAAAATTTTCCAAAAAAAATATCTGATTAAAAAATTCCCATATATATGTATGTATTTTTTTCTAGTTATTCAATGACCAAAAAAACCTATTCTATTATTTTATATTCCAATTTCCAATTATTTTATATTCCAATTTTCATCAAATATTATTATTATTATTTATTTTATTTGTTACAATTTTTATATTTATTTTTATATATATTTTTTATACTAGAAGGTATGTTATATTCCAATTTTCTATTTTTTTTTTTTCATTTTATATTCCAATTTTCAGGTATTTTTTTCCTAAAAATTTTCCAAAAAAATACTATTTCAATTATTTTATATTCCAATTTTCATCATCATCAAATAAAAAATACTATTACAAATTTTCATCATCATCAAATAAAAAATACTATTACAAAATGGGTCAAACTGTACTTATATAAAAATGACTAATAATCTTTATAAAAAAGAAAACTATTCCATTCATTTTACGTTATAATTTTCATTTTCATTCATGTATTTTTCTTTTTCTTTTTTAATTTAACCTACATTACAAGAATTTAAAAACCAGGAGAGGATAATGAAAATCAAGTAAAATTAAAATTAATTCAAGATACAGATTCACGTATGAAGTTGAATAAGAATTAGAATGATGTGTGTATCATTTAAACAAATTCAAAATAGAGACAAACTAGATGGACTTCCCCACCGACGGTCAAGCACCCAATTCTGTGAGAGGCCACTCAATGAGGACGGGAGAGAAGATTTA